TTGTTTCCACATGTAATAAAACTCAGACAAATGACTCTTGTAATGTTTGGCATTTAAGATTGGGTCATCCTCATTTGGAGGCTCTTAAGTCTGTATTAAACCTATGTAATATCTCTTTTATCAATAAACAGGATGTTGAATTTTGTTCTGCATGTTGTCTAGGGAAAGCTCATAGGCTTCCCTCTTATCCATCTGCCACTATTTACCATTTTCCTTTTGAACTAATATACACTGATCTGTGGGGCCCAGCTCCAATTCAATCTTTTGATGGCTATTCCTACTATATCTCTTTCATTGATGCATTCACAAAATACACATGGATCTACTTTCTCAAAAAGAAGTCTGATGCTTTTATTGCATTTCAGAATTTTTACAACTATGTGTCAACTCAGTTCAATTCATCCATCAAATCTGTCCAATCTGACTGGGGAGGTGAGTTTAGATCATTCTCCCAATTTCTTACTGACAAGGGCATTACCCATAGAGTTATCTGCCCACACACACACCATCAAAATGGTGTGGTTGAACGCAAACATCGCACCATTGTTGAAAAAGGTTTATGCCTTTTAGCCCACTCATCTTTACCCTTCAAATTCTGGGACACTGCATTTGCCACATCTGTCCATCTTATCAACAGGTTACCCTCAAAATCCATTTCAAATCTCAGTCCCTTCTTCAAACTTTATGGCACTGTCCCTGATTACTCCTTTCTTAAAGTCTTTGGGTGTGCCTGTTACCCTTTTCTCAGGCCATACAACAAGCACAAATTTGACTATCATTCCAAGGAATGCATATTTTTAGGATATTCCTCAAACCATAAAGGCTATAAGTGTCTGTCACCCTGTGGAAGAATATATCTCTCCAAGGATGTTGTATTCAATGAAACAAAATTCCCATATCCCATACTTTTTCCTTCTACCACTCCTAAAGCTTCAACTGTCCCAGTACACTTGTGTGCACCCATCACCATTATCAACCCTACTATATCTTCACTTGCAAATACCTCAAATTCTACATCCTCCTCCTCACATCAGACAAACACTTCCAACAATACCTCAAATACCTCAAATTCTGCATCCTTCTCCTCACATCAGACAAACACTTCCAACAATGATCATCATACTACTAGTTCTAACTATCACACTCCTAGTACAGACCATCACACTCTAGGTACTGACAATCATGTTCCCAGTACTAACACTCAATCCAATCCCACTTTCTTTCAACATAACATCACTACCTCCCAGTCTCAAACACATATAGACAATATCTCTCCTTCTACATCATCTATTTCATCCTCTTCTTCCAGTACCTCTGCTCCTATCCAAAATCACCATCCCATGCAAACCAGATCCAAATCTGGGATTGTAAAACCTAGACTTAATCCCACCTTACTGTTGGCTCATGTTGAGCCCAAATCAGTTAAACAGGCACTTTCTTCTCCACCTTGGCTTGCAGCAATGCAGTCTGAGTATGATGCTTTGCTAGCAAACAACACTTGGTCCTTGGTCTCTCTACCACCAGGCAAGCAGGCTATTGGATGCAAATGGGTTTTCAGAGTCAAAGAAAATGCTGATGGCTCTGTTAACAAATTTAAAGCCAGATTAGTGGCCAAAGGATTTCATCAGAGGTTTGGTTTTGACTTTGGGGAAACATTTTCTCCAGTAGTTAAACCTATAACTATAAGAATTCTTCTCACACTTGCCATCTCTCATAAATGGTCTATCCAGCAGCTTGATGTTAACAATGCCTTTCTCAATGGGGAACTTGAGGAAGAAGTTTACATGACTCAACCACCTGGTTTTCAGCATCAGGATACTTCACTTGTTTGTAGACTACACAAGTCCTTGTATGGCCTCAAGCAAGCTCCCAGGGCTTGGTTTCAGAAACTCACTTCAGTTTTGTATAGTGCTGGCTTTAAACAAAGCAAATGTGATCCCTCCTTACTATTATATCTCACCTCTGACATACAAATATACATCCTAATCTATGTGGATGACATTCTGGTTATTGGAAACAACTCTGTCATAATTCAACAGATCATTCAAAAGCTAGACTCTTCATTTTCTCTCAAACATTTGGGAGACATTGATTTCTTCTTGGGTATTGAAGTTAGAAGGCTTCCAGGTGGGTGTCTACACTTATCCCAAGCAAAGTACATCAGGGATCTCTTGGAAAAGGCTGGAATGTCTGATTCCAAGGGTGTGAAAACACCAATGGTGAGTAGCTCCAAGCTTACCAATGAAGGGAATGATTTTCTTCCTGACCCATCTCATTACAGATCTATTGTTGGAATCCTACAGTAGGCTACTCTAACTAGACCAGAACTCAGTTACTCTGTGAATAAAGTGTGTCAGTTTATGGCTGCACCTTTGCAAGAACACTGGAAAGCAGTAAAACACATTCTCAGATATCTCTCTGGAACTATCACCTATGGGCTGATCATCAAACCTCTCTCTTTATCCACTACATCTTTACCTATCTTTGCCTTCTGTGATGCTGATTGGGCTTCAGACCCTACAGATAGAAAGTCAACATCAGGTTCATGCATCTTCCTAGGCCCAAACATTATTTCTTGGTGGTCAAGGAAACAACTCCGGGTAGCCAGATCCTCAGCAGAGGCTGAGTACAGAAGCCTAGCAGACACTTCTTCTGAACTGTTATGGGTTCAATTTCTGCTTAAAGAACTTCAAGGTCCCTTTCTAACCCCCAAAATCTATTGTGACAATCTCAGTACAGTCCAACTGGCTCACAATCCTGTACTACACTCTCGCATTAAGCATATGGAAATTGATCTTTTCTTTGTCAGAGAGAAAGTTAAACTCAAGCAGCTAGAAGTTCTTCACATTCCAGCCCCTCAGCAGATTGCAGATGTGTTGACCAAGCCTCTATCAGCATCCTCATTTCTTGAATTTAGAAACAAACTGAGTGTGATTGATCTTCCAAAACAATCATCCTCAGTTTGAGGGGGGAATGTTAGGAATAATAGAATAATAGATATTCTCTTTTGCTTGTATTCCTGTATTGAGATGCACGTTTAGTCTGTTAGTTACCAATTGTATAAATACTCCGTAAACTTCAATTCTAAGTAAGATGATTTCATTTTCTATCTTCTACCACATTCAGTTTCTAATAACGTTCATTAAAAATTAGGCGAACCTAAGTAACCTCGTGAATACATAAATGTTGTTCAGATAATATTAGGTTAACCAACGTGAATCCAGTTAAAGTTTAGATAGGGTTAACCTAGGTTAAGACATTAAAGTTATTTATAAAGAGAACTTAAATTCGTGATTCAAAGCTTCTCCAAAACTGAGTTACTTGGCATTTTCCCCTAAACGAAGGTTCTCTCAAGTAAATCTAAGTTCTCTTAACACTGAGGTTCTTATCATAAATGAGTAAATAAATTCAATCCAAAACTAACCATGGAAGAACCGAAGAACCTAGGTTCACCTAAAAACACTGGCCATATTTGCATCCACTAAAGTCCTAAAATTCAAGCAATTCAAGAAAAGAACAAACCTTCATATGTGGGAGTGTAATTTTATCCTCAAAATATGGTTTACATCTCAGTTCTCAACTGAACATCCAAACACTCCCAACATTTATTTACTAGAAACAGAAATTAACAGTATAAGCTGAGCGTTTCTGATGTGATTAGTCACATTTCCCATTTAACATCCAATCCGCAAAAAAAAAATCAAGAGAGAAGAAATCAACCAATCACAAACACAGAATAGAACAGGGGTGATCTTCCAACTGATACTTTAAATTGATGAAAAGTCATAATTTAAAATTGGGAAGCTCCTTTATTTCAGTGCGAGCAAGAAATAAATAAATTTAGCAAGCCCACCTGTTTGGATGGTGGGGCAAATTTTGGGAAGAAGGAAAGATGGGTTCTTTAGCAATAGAAGCAGGCAGGTTAAGAAAGGAAGAGTTGAAACACAGCATCCCTTCAGATTTCAATGGGTTAGAGGCAGCCCCGCCCGCTCTTCACTCTATACTTCTTCGCTTCAAGTTTTTCCCATGACGACTGACGACAACGGATAATTTATCATTCTATCAGTCTTTCTGCCTTATTTGAGCGGCTATGCTTATTGCCTTACATGTTTTTTTTGGACATTTTCAATTTCAAATCAGATCAGACTTGACTTCAATAATTATTAAATACATAGAGACCAGACGTTTAGCAGACCAGACCAATTCAGACCAGACCAGATCAGACCAGACCAGCAAATTTCAGTCCAAAAGAAAACATCCTTATTCTGCATTCGGTTTGGGTTAATAGGTCCGGTTTTGAGAAAGGAAACAAATAATGTAATCCAACATTTTTAGTTGGCTCTGGTTCGGTTATTTTTGGTCAAGACAATATCAGTCAGTTTTTAATGACTAAACCTCGTTACTCATATGTTAGCTAAGCAACAGGCAAAGCGTGTTAGAAGTTTTGATGTTATTCCTGATTGCGTTGTAAACAGGTGAATGATTTGCTTGAGTAATGTTATTAACTGTTTGTTTGTCAAAAATGACTAAACCTCAAGTCATATTTCAAAAAACAAAAACCTCAAGTCATGAACCACATTTGGAGTCTGTTTGGTGAACAATAGGAAAAAGTAATTTTTCGGCTTATTAGACTTATCAGCCAAATGTTTCATCAAACACGTAATTTTTTATTTCGCGCGCTGAATTTTGTAATAATAAGAAAAAGTAATGTTATTTGCAATAAAAAAAGTAATGTTGTGGACTTTTCTGGCTGTGTTGGCTGAAATTATCATTTTAACTATTTTCATGTAAAATAGACTAGACCAGAAAATCTATCAGACTAGGTCAGTTCAGACTAGACGAAACTCTTAAACAGACCGGACCAGAAAATCTCAATCTAATTAAAAACATCCTCATTTTGTTTTAGCAGTTTCTTCTTTTCATTTTTCTCAATTTCCATTTGCAAACTAGAAAGGTTGCTTCTTTTCGATTGTTGTTCACAGCAGATATACTATGATAAACAGAAGGGAACAATGATCGTAACAGAATTAAACATATTGTTTGTTATAATACATAAATTGATTGATATGAAGAAAAAGAGGTGAGTGATATTAAATGAAAATTATCAGCACAACTGATATGACTATGGCAAAGATGGCTCCAAGTATTCAATAGAGGATAGAGTAACATATGATTTGCATACACATACATAATAATTACATGTATACGGTATAGTATGTATTATGTCAATGTGTGATGATGCGGGGAATGTGCAGTTCTTCTTCTCCCCTAACCACCCTGCAAAACCGATGATGTGTTGGATATAGGCACCTCATTTGGATGGATTTAATAAACGGGCTCAGATGGCAGATCGTTTCACTAATGAAATTTTAGATACATCTTGTCTTCCTCCTACTTCTTCAAATAGTACCAATAAGTTTCCTGTTGGTTTCAACCATGACCTTGGAACATGATACCTGATACATTAATATGACAGATATAAGTTCAGTGTCAGATTATATATTAATTAGTAGTGTTTCCTAAGGAAGCTCCATTTGGTATAACTCTAATAAACTTCTTGCAGTAGCTTTTCAAATAAGTTGAACTTTTTATTCATAGTTCCAGTTTAAAGTTTTAACCTCATTTGAATTAAAATCCTTTCAAGTGGAGAAGCAATAAGCTACTAATGCATTTATTAGCTATCAGCAGAAGTTTGTTTTGCCAAACATAGCCTAAGTGATCATTCATGTAGCGATGATATATGTAAATAGGTTAAATATGGAAATTACCATCTTTGAGTTAGCGTGCCACAGCCATGCTGGCATTTTTGGGCATGGTATGTTCCATTATAGAAACAATGATCATCACATTCACCTTTTGTGTGACATAACCAATATCTCCCTATACTTTGACCATTTATCCATATTTGTCCCTTTCCCATGCCTTTCATGTCAAGAGCCAAGGGCTCGACTCCATTTGGCGCATAAAAATTTGCCTGCCATGTCACAAAATATTTGTAAGCGGAAAATGTGATAGAATTCATGGTTGGACAAATAACATTTGGGTCGAAGTTAGTTCAGGAGTTCAACTCGTAGTCTTATAAAAACTCAGGTTAGTCTCTTAATGTTTCAACATGAGATTCTAACAAATGAGACTAGTTTTATAATGACACAAATTCTGATACCCGTAGTATAAAACTTTGGATTAATCTCCTATGATATTGACCGTAGAATGAAACCTCAAGTCTTACTCAGACAAGCCACCATTTTGCGAAACATATTATAAAAATACAAGCTCTTTCTGTTTTCCTACCTTGAACCAGCTCAGATGTTGATGGCCTTGAGTGACTGATGGTCCTTCAATCCAGTGAACAGACGAGACTCCTTTTGGAGAGAACAAGTTCATTGATTCTCCTTTTAACCCAACCTGTTTAAAGAGTTGTAATGAATAAATAAACAAAAGGAAAACTGTTTAAAGATTAATTTACAAAGAACTATGTCAATTTTTACCTGGTATTTCCATTTTTGGTTTGATAAATCCTTATTTCCCTGGTTTAGTCCCCGGAGATTAACTGGCCCCAAGATTCCCTTGTTCCATGTCTCAAAGTAAGTCCCAACATTCTATGAAGCAGTTTAAAAAAAATCTATAAGCGACTTCAGTTGAAATTAGAAAAAGTATTAAATTATCAATACAATATGCAATGAGTAGCATAAAGTGGGAGCCACTTGAAAGGGAAAAAAACTTACTGGAAGTCCCATAGCTGAACTGAGTAAAGCAATCTCATTTTTCCCAGCTTGAAGATCAACTTGTCCAGTAAATGTGAATCTCCTTCCCTCCATGCTACCATAAACAGATCCTGAAATTGGTGTTTTCTTTATTACTAAACGGTCAAGCTAACTATATTCACCATAAGAACACTACCGTTATGTTTGCATTGCGGATAATGCTAGAGCAAAGAAGAGAACGTGTTCAGTAAATTAATATGTATGTTTCATTTTACCTTGGCAAATGCAATGAAAAACAAAAATATGATTAGTTATTTATACTTTAAAACTATTAGTCTTCATATAATAGAGATAAAAACAAAATGAAATACAAAAATATGAGTAGTGGCTGAATCGGATCATTCTGATTAAATTTATGAAGTTCTGGCTCAATTGGCTATATTGGCTGATTCTGCGGATTTATTAAAAAATTACACTTAAAATATTTTTTATTAATAAAATAAAGAAAAAAGTATATGAAAAAATAGCTTAAATGGACATTTACAGTAACTTCGCCAATGCAACCAAAAAACTAATTCCAACCTTACTTATTTTGACTGTTAAATAATTCAGCGCGAAATAAAAAGTTACGCGTTTGGTGAAAAATTTGGCTTATAAGGCGCCGAAAAATAGGGTCACCAAACAAGTCTTGGGAGCAGCCTCTTGTTAAAACGAAAAGGGAAGGCTTGCTCCTTATACACCCTTGTGGTGGGACCCTTCCCTGAACCCTTACCTTGCGGGGATGCCAATGTGCACTGGGCTGCCCTTTTTAGTATTTCATTGAGACCAATCAGGCCTTAACAGAAAGTATCCACCAGACCACCACAATGCCCTCATGAAGGAACTACATTATGCATATAAGTTAATAACAGTACCTGCAAACTTTTTGTTTATGAATACTAGCACTCCATCCCCTCTTGACTCGATAACTAATGTGGGCTTCCAGCCTTTTTTTAAGAATGATTCCGATGGGCTAATATCAACACTGCATTTTGTGGTAAAGTAAGTACTAGTATTTAGTAATGATTGTTATATTTCATTTAATTTCATGTTCTTGTCCCTTTTTTTGAAATTTAAAGAAAGACAACAGGACAATCAGAACAAAGAGCTGACCTTGTTATGTACCACAAATAGTCACTGTTATCCTTGGTCACACTAATCTGATCCAGAAGTCGAGTAGTTGTGTATGTTGAACTGTCCTCTTGAGCTGTTATATCTTCGTGATAAGTAGCCCACGAATGTAACTTTGAGTTACTTGATTGCATTTGCACCCGTGAAGTTCGTGTTCCAACCTTAACAGTGATAAGATTCCCAGTGACGATGTGACTTTATTACCATTAATTCACTTGTTACATACAGTTATCATTGAAGAGCAATTTTGCATATGGTCCTAAAGAAGGGTAAACTTGAAAAATTAAAGTAAATACTTCATTGGTTTTATAAAAATCTTTTTGGCTCCTGTATCATGTATTGATTCATGTTAGCCAACCCCCTAATCTTTCGGGACTAAGGCTTGGATGTTGTTGTATTGGTTTCATAAAAAGACACTTATTCAAAAACCAAAGCATTTTTTCCAGGACAACGCTTAATTTGAACCAGTTGGAGTAACTAAGTGGAATGGAAAGGACAGCAATAGGGGAACGTATAATCATGTTTATTGGTTTTATTTGGAGTGTTTTGTTTTCTTTAGTCTTAGCTGTGCCTCTTTAGTAATTTTAGTCCCAGACTGTTATATTTTAAAAATAATCATCCTTGCTTGTATCCCTTTGCGCTTTTAGTGCATATTCATAGCACTTCTACATAAGGGATGTTTGGAATTGATCCCGCTTATTTTCTAAAAGTAGAAGTAAAATCGAATCAGTTTTTTCAAATGTTGTTCTCCCAGCTTCTCAAAAAACTGCTTCTAGGAGCAATTTGAAACACTTAGAAGTATTTTAGCACTTCCACCCAAACACTTTCGCTTCTGCTCTCTCAAGGAGCAGAAACAGTTTTAAGAAGTAGACCCAAACACCCCTTTACTCTGTGTCAATGGAGCTGACGAAGAAAAGGACTCAAACTGCCGTAAAATCAAAAGTTACACAACAAGCGACTAAAATTGCATGACCAGGGGGGCGGGGTAAAAAAGCAATTCACCCTTAAACTCATTTACAAAAGAGTTAAAGCTTACCGTTGCAGTGTTGAAGATGACATTGCGGCAGTCAGGCAGTATGCTAACAGACCAAGCGGGCAGTGTATACTTCTTCCCTCTAAAAGTGAGTGTGGCTTCATATTTGCTATCTAAATTTGCAAGAAAAGCTGCGCATTTCCCTTTCCCATATGAGAAAACACTTACCTGAAGTAAATAAATACATAATGAATTTATCACGTAGTTCTATAAGGATGACGAATGTAACATGGCCAAGGGATTTGTCTAGTTATATTGAAAGCATATATCCAAATATGAAGAGATTTCACCTGTTGAGATGTTCCCAGGCTAATAACTTTAGGAACTGATGATACTAAAGCTTCCTGACATTGTTTAATTGCCCTATGAAGCTCACTTAAATGCCCATATTTAGGTTGCCTTAACAGACCTGAAAATTTTGTGGTCATCAGCCAGCTAAATCATGCAAGCACTTTAATAGAGATCCTAACTGATTAATAATTATTTGACACGCTATGTAGCGAAATGCAATAGAATGTGTGTGAAATGTAAATGCACGCTTTTTAACAAAACAATTACATTACAATACATGTCATAACGGTTTGCCAAACAAAACCTTAGGCACAGACTGTTAAAAAAGAGAGAGAAATCTTCACCATATTCATCAAGTGGAGCATCATAATCATAACTGGTTGTGATGAAAGGGCCTCCGGCTGTGCGACCAAAGTTGGTTCCTCCATGGTACTACCATAAATAAAAAACCTATCACGACTTTGTTGAGTATATATATGCACACGTACGGGCACATATATTCACATTTACATTTATTTGTTTGTGTATCATCATTGTACTGTGATTCGGGGAGAGTAGTACTTTTGAAATTTTATTTATATAAATACAAGCCTTACCATATAATAATTAACAAATGAGCCACCCTGCTCTACGAAACGAGCAACTGCAAATGCTAGATCTTGAACTGGACGCTTAGCCAATGGACCTCCAAATTCCGTGAACCTAACCATTTTAAATAGAAATGAGAAATTAAGAGTGATGGTCATCTTAAAATAGAATTTAAAAGTATGTTTGATAGCCAAATGTGGCTCTGTTGTTCTAAGCTATATGCAGAATAAGTAGATTCTGACTTGCTAGTGTGACTAAAACTGGATATTGCGAGAAACTTTTCCAGATTCAGCCATTTCAACCAAATAACTTTTACTGAACAGGTCTTGTATAGAACAGATGCTATTACGGCTCAACCTTTGAGAAATGTAAGCAAATTTGTAACAATAAAGCAGATTGATCATACCAGCCAGTCCACGCTTCAGTCCACATTTTCGGCTTGTGTGGTTTGTTGGAAGAAAAGCCATCACAATAGAAGCCATTGCATGTATTTATCTGTTTGATAAATGAAAGAGCACATTCAGAGTTCTCTCAATGATAAGCTCAAACCATAATACAGGTTGGTCAAACCACATTTAAACATAGAATCCTACCGGTTTAATATTCTCACTTTTACAAAAAAAACTACCAGTAACAGCCCAAACATAACCCGATAGCAGAAGGATGAAAGATAACTCACAATTGGGTCGGGAGCATCATCTTCTTTGCACATGACCCACGGGACTCCCGTGTTCAGCCCAACTGCCATTTTTGCAGCCCAATGAATATATTTCTTCCCTGCTGCTCCAAGAGCCTTACTTTCTGAACCATATTCATTCTCAATCTGCCAAAAGAGGTAAATCATTCCTATTAATCTGAGAGTCTGTTTCTTTATGATCTATAACACACGCACAAAGTTAGGATGATCTATATTCAATGCAAAAAAATTAGTTACCTGAGACAGTATTATAGGACCTCCTTGAGATTGGAACAGTTTTTCACTCTTCATCATTTCAACAATTTTCTTGGTGAAAATGTGCATTTGTTCCTTTAATCACAATAGAATTGGTGAAATCTCAGACGGAAAATTTGAGACACATATAAACACTGGAAAGATATTTTTCTTTTTTATAATCCTTTTTTATCAGCCATCTAAAGATTCATTCGTAAGAGAAAAATATCAGCAAACATATGGGACTAGGTTGAGCATGGAAAAACCTTGAAAGGTCCATTATCTGTTCTGAAGCTGATTCCAGGAACAAATTTCAACCAAACAGGAAATCCTCTGAAAGAAATAGAAACATTAGTTTTTTTTTCACTTTTTCCACTAAAACTAAGATACCACACCAAAATTCAAGCAATTGAAGCAGGAAACACTTAGAATTACCCAAAATTCCACTCTGCACAAACGTAAGGTCCTATCCGCAAAATCACATAAAGACCAGCTCTTTGCACAGTCTTAACAAAGCGAACAAGATCATAGCTTCCCTCAAAGTTATACTACAATGTCCATAATAACCACAAAAACATCAACTTTTAGGATTAATCAAGTGAACAATAGTCAGTAAGACAGTAACAACTCAGTTAAACAAAGGAAACTCACTTTGCCACGTGAAGGCTCATGCCCGTTCCAAAAAACATAAGTGTCAATAACATCCAGTCCTCCATCTTTACCCTTTCTTATGAGATCTTCCCACATCTGCAATAGCTAATTTTCTTAAACCTTTCATATAAACATAACCATTACTAATTTTCAAGAAGAAGAAAAGTAATCTTCTTTAATCTTTCAAAGAAACATGTAAACAAAAGGTGGCACCTCAGGGGTACTTCTTGGATAATGTATGGAACCAGAAATGAGTATTTTCCTTTGTCCATTAATAAGAAGTGTCTTATTGTCATAGGTGACGTCAGAGAAGATAAACTGTGCAGTCATTACAAGGAATAGGCTAAGGAAGAGGAAGAAGAAGGGAAGTTTGGAAACTGAGAAAGACTCCATTTTTGTTTTTGTTTCTACTCCGTGGTGTTATGACTATGCCTTTAATGCTATATATGCCGAGGGTCTTCTCTGAATCTCTTAATCAAGATCATCAATGGAGTTGAAATGCTGCGAGCAGTAGCTGCAAATGTCACAGACAGTGTTTGAAAGGTGGGTTCTTTTTTTCTTCCCCCAAATTTCATGCGCCCTTTCCTCTCTAGTGGGTATGAACTCATAGAAGTATGGAACAATGATGATGATGATGGGACAAAAACAGAACATTATAATTTATTATATTCTTTTCATACCCATATTCATAGATATTCCGTATTTTAAGACGACCCGTGACTTTTTTATTTTAAAGCCCGTCTCAATGAACGGAAGAAAAAGAAAATAATACGGAGTAGAAAAACAAAACCTTTTAGTCGGTGGTCTAACCTTCCCTCTTTTTCACTAAATTGATTACCTCATTAACCCTCCCGCAATCTTTTCTATTTAATTCATTCACTGTTTTTTGCAAAGAGACTGAATTTTTTTAATTTGTTTGCAGGTTATTCATTTTATGAGATAATAATTATGTCATCAAATTGTAAAATGTTTGCCGTTTCTGAGAAAGCTTAAATACATAGGATTTGTTTATAAAGATTAAAGCAGCATATACGATGTAATTTTTTTTTTATTTTGTACTCAAATAAGGAAACCTTTATGAAACTATCATGATCATATAGCATTGAATTGAAAGTGTTTACCATGTACTCCGTACGTTAGAAATGTACTAAAATATTAGATAATTGTTCTATCCATATCATTGTAAGTGTCACAACAAAATCTTAAGACATTGTTATAAGTTTATTGTATTTCTTAAAAAGTATATGAGGTTTCTCAAAAAAAAAAAGTATATGAGGGTTTTGGTAGTGTGATACTTTATTAAAAATTTAAAACGTACTGTAACAGCTTTTTTTTTTGAAAACCTACTGTAACAGCTTTTTAGGATAGATTCATTTCCGAAAATGAAAATGTGATAATTAGTTTGCTTTGATACGAAAAATAATACTCCGCATGTGACAATCATAATGAGAAGTAATATTTATGAAATTTTAAACATTTTTAGTTTTTTAATACATATTATCAATTAAATGTAGTGAACACGTTAATATACTGGCTGTAGTATTACTGTATAGCACATTGGCGTAATTAAATACTTGTATTATGATTCTCTAATCCTTAAAAATGAGCCTACACCACTATATTTTTTGTATACTTTTAGATTAAATAATTTGGGAATCTCATTTTCTAAATTACCCTCTTAAAAATATTTTTTGCATAGGTAAGAATGTTGATTATCTCCTTTATATTAGAGTCTCTCCTATGCCAAAAAATGAACGGTGCATACGTGGCATGAGAGATAGCCAATTAAAAAATAATAAATAGAATATCTCTCTCTTTATTTGAAGGATCTTGTATCATTTTGGTAAGTTTTTCTTCATAATGTCAAGCACAATGTCTACATGTTGACATTGTGCTTGACATTGCAGAAGAAAACTTACCAAAAACACATAAAACCGTGGAAAGAATAAAAGAGAAATGTCATGAATTCATATTTTTGTGTCTATCTCTCTCATGACACATATGCACTGTGCACATTATAGCATTGAAGATGCTCTTAGTTAGACAACTTTCATTTTTCTAATCTTATAATAAATCAAAAGAGGAGTTAAATATGGATGGAAGGGAAGATTGAACATTAAATCAGTCAATGCTTATTTCTAAAAAATGATGACACCTCATCTAATGAGGACCTCTAACACTAACCCGTAGATAGTGAGTGAGACTCTTACTGATCAGATACCTACATAAGTTATATGTATTGTCACATAATAACTTTTCATGGCAGTTAATTAATAGATTTCCAACTCAAGAGTCAAGACTTATATCTCGTGAATCTTCGAGTTGAGTTACACCCACAGACAATCAATGCTTATATGTGTTCCTTAGTTGTTAAATCAACAAATACAAATTGTCAAAAAGTTTCCTAAGAGTTTGAATAAAGTTAACAATGCTTACCAACCATCTTTTACATACTCCGTACATTATAAAGTATTGTACAATAAAAAATTTATTTTATTCACCCGATTTTTATTTATTTATTTATTGTGATGATAACCCACTGAATACGTGCATTTCAAAAAAAAAAAAATGAAGCTGCATTTCAATGAATAAATAAACTACCACTAACACTTTACTTTTTCTATGTAATAAGTATAAGTCTAATTTTTTTTAACTTTGTAAGTTACATTGCAGAATTGATGGACAATTTTGTACAATGGTAAAACGGAGTACTTTGTTTTGGTTAAAATGGGATACCTGTAATCCTCAAAATTATTTGGAGTTTGGACAATTCTAAAAAAACGCAATATATATTTTCGCAATTCTATCATGCATCCATACATCGCAATAAAATAAATAATTATGATTTGTGTACACATTTTTTGTATCCGTCATTTAGCACGTCAGTCAATTTGTCTGTGTACATGCAATTTTTTCGTTTCGTGAAGATAATCATTTTTCGCGCCGTAAAAAAAGTTGTCTGTGAAAAATGATTCTATTTACAAAACGAGAAAAAAAAGATTATATTCACAAAATGACAAAAAATTGTCAGTGCGAAAAATGATTCTATTCACAAAACGAGAAAAAATTGTCTGTGCACAGCCAATTCTCTCGGTGTTAAAATGGCATGTACAATTTAATGTGTACAAATAGTATTTTCCTGTTAAGTACCTTGTGGTCTGATGGCATCACTACTGATATCCTAAAGAAGAGGTCGCAGGTTTGAGTCTCATCTCAATAAGGATGTTGACATTAAGAAGATCAGATACTATAAAAGGCTTAGAAGAATATTCCAAAAAATACTCCGTAGTATTTTCCTAAAATAAATTAGATTTTTTAATTTACCCGTTGCAATTCAGCAAAGACAGAAATTCATGATTGTTGAATTCTTTTACATACATCATATGAAAATGATGACAGACTTGAGTTGTTTCTAAAGAACGTAAGTAGTCACAACCTGCTTGCCAAAGTTCAAAATGGAAATATATAAAACTCCGTAAACTTTGTTATTAGAATTGCTTGGGCGTCGTTGTTGAGAGCTGATAAATGAGAGTAGTCAATTCTATAAACCATCTCAATATGGGCAGTAAAGATGAAAGGAATGTGCATATATATGCAAAATCTTTGTGTTCAAGGAGATTACCATGAGGCCGGTACGGTGCATATGATGAAGCCAAAAGCAAATATAAAATCACTTGCAAACAGTCATTCAGCCAAACAATATGAAGATACGGAACATGAGTCAGCCCTAGGGAAATCCTAGGCGGCGAGCTCCTGGACGATTTAATCTTTTGGCTTCTTGATGATTGTGATGTTCTGCGGGCAGTAATGAATCAAAGGTTTTCTTATGTTGTCTCTCTTTTTTATTTCTATCTTCTAGGCTTGTGGTTTTGGTCCGACATCTTCGTTGACCTAGAGTTATGTTCGCTTCATATTATATGAAATGTTTAAACTCGTCCGAACTCATAATAGTAAAAAATTGGTTATGGTTATTTGATGTAGTAGTAAATGTCACAAAAGTAGATGTAGTAGTAAATTGGTTATAGTAGTAAATGTTCTTCTGGGTGGCACTGGAAGCAAAGTGTGCCTGAAGGATACAAATATTATCAAATGTTCTGAATTCAACCAGAATTTGTTCGTCCTACACTCAAAGAGGGGTTGTTTTTCATCCTCCGAAGTTCTTTAATCTAAAATATTATAAACACCAATAGTGGTTAGGGTATAACTGGAATGTGAAAAAAATGTTGGTGTAACTAAACAACAATAATTAGTTAGAGAATATGAATAATTCATTGTACGTTCAAATGGATTGACATTTGTATCCGTTGATTTCCGTTAATTTTGACAGTCTATTCATGATTGAAAACATCTTTGTTCTTCTTAATCCAGTATGGAAGAAGTGAGTTTTAAAAATGTGAATGGGCCAAGCCGGGCCTACAGGCTGCGAACTCCCCACGGGTTGTTTCAATAGAAATAGAAATTAAAGACTCAAGTAAATGAACCGACATATCCATTTAAAAAATGTTGTTAAAATGTGTTTGGCCGACTTTGGTCTTCAGCTCTTCATTGTTTGCTTTGACTTTTCAGTTTCCCACGAATTGCATAAGAATTATGAAGAACCAAAAAGACGAAGACATTATTGACAACTTCTGAAATTTTCAAGTTCTTGAAGAGAGAAATGGTAGTTTTAGTTCTTTAACTATTGACAATGATTGAAGGAAGCTCCGCTAATATCCTCTTACCCTTCATCCGATTTCCTCTACTCTTTTTCATTTATTCACATAGTAATTAGGGGTGGGCGCAATCCAGAACGGTCCGGTAGATTAGTAAAACTCGTAATGTATCTGTAAGGTTTTTAACGGTCTGGTGCGGTCCGGTTCCAAGGATGGAACCGTTCGCTACCATGTCATTTCGGAACGGTACAAAACGGTACGGTATAATGCCAAACACATGCTAAAAATTTGAACAAATCATGGAATTAGTAGATAACATCACACCAACCAACTCACATGAAATGTTGATATAAATACAAGAAATTGCATATTTAGTACTAAAATTCACAAATACACAAATAGTGAAACACAACTAAGAAAAAGTATAGCAAAACGATGACGCGCGAGATAAGTATCATCTTTAATTTACTAAGTTCATGTGGAAATAAAAAAAGAATATCATCAAATTGTTGAATATAATAGAAATTTTCAATGTTCTTGTTCTTCGTTCTAGGTTAAATATTACTCCATAGTTCTAATTTAATTTATTGTTTAACCTTGAGAGCTAAGATTCAAACCATATTAATTAATTTGTAAGATTGCACAAACATGATACAACAAAAAGTCATGTATACTACATTACTAGAAATGAATAGTCATTAATGATTTTTAAAATTTTAATATTCTTTCAATACATAAGAAAATATAACATAAATTATCTAAATAAAAAATAACAATATCTATATAGAGTAGTGATCCTGTCAGGCCGGTCTGACAAGAATTGCCCTCATGTAGAGTAGCAATCCTGTCAGGCCGGCCTGACAGGAATTGCCATCTGGCCGAGGGCTTTTGGGGCCCTTACCGGTGGAAGTTTTTGATGAAATTTGTTGAGCATGTTCCACATCAAGTCTAGTTTATCCATACCCAATTTCAACAAAAA